TTTTTGTGAGTACTTGAGAGCAAAGCACTGAGACGAACATATCTAACTTCTGTATCTTCAAAATGAATATAATCAGGTAGTTCCTACTGCCAAATAATAAAGTTATGCTGTATATTGTTGTGGGTATTCTATACATACTGTTGTTTGTGACTGTGAGCACCAAGAGGCAAGTTTGGTTTCTGTGGGTTTTTTTCGCTGCAGAGACTGAAACTTCAGAATGAAGCTGTTAGAGTAATGAAGCCCTATCAGTTTAGTAATGAAGCTGTTAGAGTAATGAAGCCCTATCAGTTTAGTAATGAAGCTGTTAGAGTAATGAAGCCCTAACAGTTTAGTAATGAAGCTGTTAGAGTAATGAAGCCCTATCAGTTTAGGAACCGTTCATAACGTATGGCTGGGGATGGGGTGGGGGTGGGGGTTTGAGGTTGATAATGATTTTAAGGGGGTCACCCATTTTGTTTTGGGGAGGTAGGGGGTCATCAATTAATACACATGTACAAGAGGGTGGGTCAGCAATTTTGTACATGACATGCAGGGGATCACTTACTTTGTACATAACTTTTAGGGGTGGGTGGGGTGGGGGGGTCATTCACATTATATATGTTTCTCCATTAAAATCATCATCACCGTCCTAGCCATAACTTATGAATGGTCCTTCAGAAAGCTGTCTCCAGAACCAACACAAGAACCGTTATCCTGAGAATAAAACCTTGCAACTGACAACTTTATCCTTCCGATCAGAGTTCTAAATCTCATAAACACCCTCCGACATGTTCTATCCCTCACAAAGTAACCGATATGAGATACACAAAGATATGTCAGTATGGTAATTCCACTGTCCAACACAGCCATGTGCTACTGTTACTAACAACAGCAGCAGAATCCAATATCATCTTACACAAGGCAGTAAGTGTGTACTCCGATACTGGGTACAATCTCTAAACAAACTGTTAACACTCCCAGGCAAAGTGGTCTCATTACCTGATAACATTACTACAAGTGAAATCTTACTCCCACTATATTCATGTGTGGCCAACACTTGCACAAAGATCATTGTGTTCAGAAAGTACTTGTGTCAACTTTAGACTGGCAGCTCATGTATGCTGTTATTATTGGCAGGAAATTAAAAAGTCCTTTCTATAAAAGTGATCATATTTACATGCATGTTTTGTTTTTATCACAAATATACACTGGCAGTATGTGTGGTAGGAAATTGCTAATGTGTCATAAATTTCTTTCACTCTTTAATGGGCAACAGGTTCAGTGGGTACAGAAGGATCTTAAAGGAGTGAATACACAATGCCATAACATATGTTACATCTTAAAGGAGGTCTGGACACAGTGCAAATTGGCAGCCCCAGCTAAACTGATTCAAGTGATTCAAATGAGACTTTGTTTTCTTATAACTCAAATTTATGATGCCCGTCATCCAGTCAGTCAGTCCAACATGGAAATTTGGCTATAATTATGAATCTCCTCAAATATAAATATACTCATAGAAACAAATAAGGGAACACATGAAAGTACAAGTGTTCCTTTATTTATTTCCAGAAATTCACTCACGGTGCAATACATACCTTGTGAAGAAACCTGGAAAGAATAAAGGAACACTTGTACTTTCATGTGTTCCCTTATTCGTTTCCATAAGTATAATATATTCAACATGAGCATAGAAGAACAACACTGATCCAGTAAACAGTATCTAGAGTGAGTGAGTTTAGTTTTACACCGCACTCAGCAATATTCCAGCTATATGGCGGCAGTCTGTAAATAATTGAGTCAGGACCAGACAATCCAGTGATCAACATCATGAGCATCGATCGATGCAATTGGGATACCATGACACGTGTCAACCAAGTTAGAAATCGAGCCCAGCCACCCGATCCCATTAGTCACCTCTTTCGACAAGCATGTGTTACTGAAGATCAATTCTAATCCAGATATTTAGATAAATTAGATAAAAAAAAATCATAAACTAATAACTTGACTAATTATCTTATCCTTTTTCAAAGACAAACATAGACTATCCTCATTACACAGTACAAAAAGCACATTTATTTTACTAAAATTTAGGGGACAAGGTATTTAATAAATGAAGTTAGCTAAAAAGTGAAAATAGAAAAAAAAAAATTGCTTTGTATTTTATCATATACAACATACCATGTGTTAAACAGTGTTCTGAGAGGTAAAACATTGTATGTGTTGTGAAAATATACATTACCATTTGTAGATTGTAACATTTCCAAGCTCAAAACAAAAAAATAACAATGTTTCCAAACACATCTTTGGTCATAATCTCACTTTCAAGTCAAGTCAGTTTCTACTCTATAGCACTGTTGACAGTTATAGAAATATGTTGATAACACTAAAGTGTGTGTTTATTGCACTTCTCTTTAATAGATCGATAAATATGCACTGAAAAGTCAATATTTGCATTACCATATCAATGACATATTCTGATCACCAACATTGATCTCACCGAAGATCAATAAGATACTTAAACCTTACATCACCAGCCTGTCAATCACAGAACAGAGCACTGATAATGGAATAGGAACCTTTGGTTTTTATGTCACTAATCGTTTCAGTCTGTCAAAATAAGCATTGATACAATTTCTTTAAAAACGAAATTCAAACACATGGGCAAATAAAGGGCAGTACAAATGTTTTTCAATATTATATCAATATGCTTTCATAAAAATCAGTATTTACACTTACTTGAGGGGTTTGAAGATATTGCTGTTGGCATTGGCTTTGTTGGTTAGAAATATGAAGGAGGACTTCATTCTGCCTAGCCATGATATATTTTTTTAAATAAAGTGACAAATAAGACATTTTAATTTTTTTTCTCTTCTATAATAGTTAAGCTGAAACTACTGCTGGTAAATATGGTCTTTAAACATTAACCTTTTATAAAAAGATTCAGTTTTGATATCCCCACTTTGGCAAGGAAATGAGCTTAATAAGCATAAACTTGGCCAGACCTTACAAATAAATGCAGCTTACTAAATGTTTTGTAAAACCATATGTGACAAATTACATGTGATTTATCACAGCTATTTTCACCTTTACACCAAACAGAATTTGTTTCTGAAGATAGACTGGGTATTCGTTTGGACTGACAATTTCTATTTCCATCAGAAAATGATTTGAAAAACATGAAAAAGAAGACAACTACAATGGGGAAATGTCGCAAGGTCAAAGTAACCATGGGAACCAGGTGATATAAACAACCAAATAATGATCCATTGCATGTCTCCCACATATTGCAGTGTACAACATAACTCACAAGTCAGCTCACTCAAAGATTCCTCATCAACATCAGCATAAAAACAAAATGTGTACGGCACGCAGATCAACAGATGGTAAAGCTTTATTAATTTCCTTTCCACCCTCTTACAAAAAGCTAAATTGTTAATCACCATAGCAACAAAGAAAATAAACATCCATTTAATTACAAATAAATCAAACCTGCCAGTGTTTCTGAGACACACAGGTAGAAGCATATGTTCTACTGTTGTCTTAAGGATGAAAATTACCTTAGGAAATATATTAGGTGAAATTAATTCATTGATTGACAGGAGTGATCACTTCCAGGGTGGGTTTCCTTTGTTGTGCATAGAAACTATACCGCAGGTAATAAAGCCATGTTGCTCTGTTGCAATGTGCCGACGTAATTGTTTGGTTACCGTGGGGAGCTCAATATTGGGCAGTTTTATTGCTCAACTGAGACAGAAATCGCAATATCAGTTAGCATAACTCTGTGATAATTGGATTTATATGTATCAAGTTTCTCTTCCACTTGAATTGGTAAAATTGTTTCTGAGTTGAGAAATTTACAAGAAACTGGCAGAGATTTCAGAGTGCAGCAGTAACAGGGAAAGAAACTTTTAAAAATTTCCCACTAGACCATAGGACCAGTGAGTGGACAATAATTAGTGGTCCTCTCTGTACTTCACTGATCCAAAATAACATTCGTAGGTTTACTGAACTATCAATACAAAATTCACTGGCCACCAGGACCACTGCAAACTTATCATTTAGTGGTACCGGTACAGATGAATTTTTACTAGCCAGGGACCACAAGACCAGCATAAATTTCACACACTGACCAAATCTTCAGTAATTGTTTAAAGGCCGAACCATTTAAATTTTGGTTAAACAGATTAATCTAACATGCATTTTTCACAACTAAAAAGTTACTTTAATGATGTGCTTGCATGGGAGCAGACTTCTTGGTTTAGTAATTTTGTTTCTATTTTTTTGGCATGATTTTTTTTCTCAGGAAAAGATGCTCATATGGATCATGGAAACATAGTTCATTCTGTGTCCTGTGATTTGGCATACAGTGTTCACGAATAGTGCCCTCTGGCAGATTCGCCAACGGTCCGATAGAAGTCTACAACCCGCCGGCCCAAGTGTCTAACAGTATATTTCACAATGACTTTCACTGAAGTTGTTATATGGGACATGTAACACCTGTTTGCTGTTTATAAATCTTATGTTTGTTTATAATTTCAGTGCCAATTATAAGAAATGCTAAATCTGAAATGTGTGTTTAATTTTATTCTATGGGTCCTGTGAATTTTCAATGGGTCAGACAGACGTCTGAAACTTACAGGACCAAATATCCTGTTCCTTTGAAACACAATTCTTGAACACTGGGCATATTCACTCAGAATATAGATCTATGAAACAGACTGACTTACAGACTGAGTTGGTTTTACGCCGCTTTTAGCAATATTTCAGCAACATCACGGTGGGGACTATGAAACAGAACATTAATCATTTCTGCCTATGTAATTTCTGCAAGGCTGAAAAAGAATTTGGAGGAAGCAAATAGTTGACACTGTTGATCATTAACATAACCACAACTGCACTAACACAAAGTCTTCTGTGACGACCTAGACAAAGATAATCCAAGAACATCCACATCACGTCACATTGACGACACACATGCGCCATCATTAGACAATGAAACAGAAGTGTATAAGAACTGTTACCTGGACCGAGACTTTAGATCACGGAGATAGAAATCCAGATCCGCTCCGGGTTGAGAATGAGCATCAACCTCAACATCTTCTGGTTCAGGAGTCTGATGCACGAACTTCAAGAATGTTTTATTGCGAGGATCTGATACACTGGAATTCTCTCTGTCATATTCCTGTAGAAAACAAACATTAAAATCTTGACATTGCCAGTTTACAAGTCAACTCAGCTAGAGTTGTCTCTTTTTCCATATCAGAATAATAACATCTTTCATTTTAGGGTCAGCCTTAACATAAAACACATTTATTTTCAGTGACCAGCAATAAACTAGGTTACCAATTAAACAATTGTCAGTTATATATAATACACATTGTTTCAGATGAGAACATAATCAATTGATTCATGAATATGATGGCTCTCAGGTTATGTTAGCATATCTGTTTTCTGCTGTATTATGGTGGCATATGTTTTAGGGCTGGATATTGCAGAGAAGTTTCATATTGCAATATATTGCAATGCGAAAAGCATATATTGCGATATGTATTGTAATATATTGCAAGAAGTTCTTTTAACAAAAACTACTTATAATCGAGTTAATGCTTGATTTATAAAGCAAAACACATGTCACCATGCTTGATTAAGCTTTAATAACAAATTTTAATCATGACAAAATAAAATGTAAATAATATTTGGCACAAAAAAAAAAGGAAAGGAACAATTTATAAAACGGAAATATCCAAGATTTCTGGAGTGTTACTAAGTCTTTTCGAATGCATGTCAAAATACCGGTTTTCAATCAGCGTATCGCAATACGTATCGCTTTCATGTCTGAACTGGTATATATACCGTAAACCGGTTATATATGCGCGCAGCCCTAATATATTTACATAATGGAGTCTGGATCAGGCAAACCATGCAGTGACTGCAATAATGAGCAACGATCTGTGATCATCTAAGAACAATGACATCGGCAAAGTCAACTAACCACTTGATCCACCTAACCACCTGATCTAAAGGGTTGATTCACATGGATAGGATCTTCGGACCAGCTCCGACTTAAATTTTTCAATATTCTCAGGTTGAGCAAGTTTTGGTGACACTCCTGGTTCCCTTGCTCTGACCGTACATTTTGGTTTGGTTTGTTCAGCAATATTACAGCTATTTAACAGTCTGTAAATAATCGAATCTGAACCAGACAATCCAGTGATCAACAGCATGAGCATCGATCTACGCAATTGGGAACCGATGACATGTGTCAACCAAGTCAGCGAGTCTCACCACTCGATCCCGTTAGTCGCCTTTTATGACAACATGTGTAACTGAGGGTCAATGCTCTGACCATAAGGACACTACTACAGATGATAAAGTACCTATAGTTTTCAGGTGAATGAACACTAAAATTACAATTGGTGTAAAACATAAACAAATATCAGAAAAAGAGTCAAAAGAAATAGAAATGAATATAACTTTTTTTTAAATAATATAGAGTAAAACTGAAATATTGATTAAGAAAACTGACCTCGCCTCCATACTGAAGCACAGACTTGCACAGCCTGTCTAGAGTTCCAAGTTTCAAACTCAGGTCAATCAGCTGTTTCCCTTTCCGTTTTCTGCGAAACTTCTGACTTGGAACATTTGTATTTTCCGTATCATCCGGAGCTGTGAACAGCAACAGTGCCCCTTTCCGAGTCAGAAAGGTTTTGGGAAGGTCCAGTTTCCCATCAGAGTTTTGGAATCTGATTCCATAGTTTGCTGTAGTGGGAACAGAGCTCGGTCCTCGAGGAGAAACAGTAATGCCATGACGATGTGGTCGAGTGGATTGTGCTGTTTGGGGGAAGACATTCTGAAAACAACCGTAAAAAAGGAAGATCATTATAAAGGCACACTGACAGATATTTACATTTATTGCCATTATCACTGAAGAGACTATGCCCAAAAAGCACACAAATTCTTGCAAGTGCCTGTCCATAATTATTATTATTATAATTTTGCAAAAATGTGAAAGTAGAATAATACAGAAAAATATTTTTTAAATTCTAATCTGCTCTCCTCACACCAGCATACAAAATATACACATAGTTCCTTTCTCAAATGATAGTATATGTGTCAACAGGCTGTGTTCCCCAAACAAAGGTTGATGCAGAAAGAAGTACACCATGGATTTAATAAACTAATGTGTACAGCTACTGATGTAAGTTTTATTTACTATTACAGTATCAATCAATACATTTCAATCAATGACTTCTAAATGCAATACTAATTAGAGGTGGGCATTGCCGAGAATTTTCATATCGGAATATATTGAAATGCGAAAGCATATATTGAGATATGTATTGCAGTGTATTGCAAGAAAAAAAATTTAACAAGAAACTACTTATAATCGAGTTGATGCTTGATTTGTAAAGCAAAATCACAACAAAATCACTATGCTTGATTAAGCTTTAATAAAAACTTTTAATCATTACAAAATAAAAATGTAATCACATTTGGTGCAAATGAAACAAGGAAAAGAACTATTCAACATCAACACAGTGGTTACTAGTTTGAACTAGTTTCTCAACTATCAAAAACAAAAGCCCTGAGATTTTAGACAGCAACTTGACCTGGTCAGGCCATATCAGAGATCACTGGTCATTAATGAGTAAATATTTAAAACATTCAGATCCAAAACTTTGAGAAGCACTTGGACAAAAATTAAGAACACAACTTCAAATTGAACTTAACAATCCACTTAAATGTAATTTTCACCACGATCATGCCCACCACCATTACCACAATTGCCACAATCATCAACATCTTCAACACCATCATCACCACACCATTGCCACAAACACCACCATTTATCACAACCATCACCATCAACCATCACCATCATCATCACCACACCATTGCCACAAACATCACCATTTGTCACAACAATCATCACCATCATCATCAACCATCACCATCATCATCATCATCACCACACCACTGTCTGTGTAAAAAACGGAAATATCTGAAGATTTCCGAGTGTTACAAAGTTTTCCGAATCCATGTCAAAATACCAGTTTTCGATCAGCTTAAAGCAGTATGTATCATTTCATGTCTGAAATGGTAAATACCCGTAAACTGGGTATACTGCACAGTCCTAGTATAAATGAGTGATCATATAAATAGGAATGTGATGATTTTTTTATCCCAGTTTTGTACAAGAAATTTCAGAAAATGATACATATATCTTACAGGTAATGTATTCGTTCAGTTAAGTAGTTTGTGAAAATAACTACCTTTGTATGTAAATGATATGTGATCTTTAAACATGTCACAGAAATTAACGCCCATGCTATATTAAATAAAAACATATATCACAAATGCTATTTTGTCATATCTCATTACTATAAATACAATGTGTGAAGCCCATTTCTGGCCCCCCCCCGGAATGGAATATTGCTAAATGCTGCGTCAAACTAAACTCACTCACTCACTCACTATAAAAATAAATGCTTTCAAATATACATTACACATGTTTGTTCAACATTCTGTATAAAAAACAAACCTCAGTAAACCTTTTCTCTTACTTTTATTCCTGGACATATAATATAAATTAAGTCTAAATGCAAAAGGTAACTGAAATAAATTAGTAATATATAGGAACATTAAATGAATGACATTAATCCCAATAACGAATTAGGAAAACATCCATACAAGACTTACCGTATTTTCTTTTGCAAGGGTCAGATCAATGTCCCCATTCCACGACCCGTAGCCCTTTGCTAGAGAACTAAGTACTGACATTGCCTCCCGAAATCCTAAAATCAAACCCTCACAAAAGAAGGTTTAGATTTCAGGCACTTGTTTTACTATAAGTTGTCAACATCATGTAGTCAAAGTTCCCCAATCCAGGCAACTGCCATCTTACAACAGACTTGTTGACACTTGAGTGTTCGCCAGGGACAACGGTTTAGGAGACACTCGCGCTGATCTTTCTCCAATAGTGTTCATGACAAGAGTGATATATCACTTCATTCAGTTCAATCACTTTCTGTGTGGACACCTACGGGCTAACGCCCCTCAGGTAGGAATTGGACTGGCCCAATATTTTATGAATATGGCTTTATTTGCATTATTGATTTTTATATGATTCTAATGTATTACGTTTTCCCATAACGAAACATTATTGTGTCGTTAAATGTTTTAGAATCAGGTCCTGCCGTACACCCCTACAAATAATGTTTACATCATATTGGAACAGTCCAGAATTACAAGCGCATGCGTGCGGTCGAGACACGTACTTCCGGGTTAATCGTCAAAATGGTGAGTACGGGCAGGAGATGTATGTTCCGAATCCATAGTAATCAAGCTCTGCGTGATCTTTATTTCAACTGACAACTATTGCCCTGCATAAAACGTTATTGTACTTATCGTATGCATTCACTATTGTTCTAATTTGGGGCGTTTTATGTGTTATTGGAAGAAGATGTGCCACGTATCACTAGCCGGTACCCTTCTTCCGGTTAAACATAAACATTGCGATATTTGATTAAAATATAAAGATAACTTCATTTGAACACAGAACTGGCTACTGCACACCATTACGCGCATACATGAGCAGTTGCAAAGATGTAAACATTGCAAAATATTCTAATATGCTAGCTGTATGATATCCTAAACGTATGATCGTCGATGTTCATCTTCACACAAGTTGTTCATGATAAGTTGTAACTAAAAGGAATTCAGTTATCAGAATGTTTTCTGCAAAAATGGATTTTTGTTAGTACGACGAACAATTGAATTGATGTGTCCATATTCTAATTGACTTTAAGTTCGTGTGAGATCGGTTTATTTCACTTGCTTATCCTGCTTATGTGAATTTATTTTATCCACGTATACACATCCTCAATGCGGTGTTTGAGTTTGTTCCAACGTCTACAGTGTTATTAACATCAGAAAAACTAGCTGTCTATGGCAGACCAGTGCTCTATTTCTGTCCCTTACCCGCTAATAACTCTCACACATTATATTTCACAGACATTCTTTCAATTGTGAGCTTGAACTTGAAGTCAGCAACCATTTACAAGACCTTTGAATATTGTTTTAATATTTTGACCCCCATCAGCAGGCCTTGATGTGCCGTAGTATTTATACTGGAAGAGCATTAGAAATAAACTTTTTAACTGGAGGAAGTACTTATTCCACCATTACCAGGCATTCCCAGTTGTATACATGGTATACCAGAAGATAGACAACCAAGTGAAAGTGCTCACAATTTAGTGATATCACTGCTTCTTTCAATTTGTGAGAGAAAAGTTTAATTTATTGAACACATTTCAGACTTTGAAGGCAGTGTCAATGCTATACCATGTGGTTGAGATTTTGTCACATCTCAGAGGCCCAGATAAGCTGCGTATCCTGGTAAAATACGCATAGAAAATTTCCAATTACGCATTGAAAAATAATTGTTGCGTACCAACGCATTTAAAATGTTAGATACGCATAAAAAGTTTAAAACAAATGCGTATGGATTATATTTATAAAAAATCGTTTGCGTAATGAAAAGACATCGATTGCTATCAAGTTGTACTGTTAGTATAGGACTAGTGTTGTACTGTCAGTACAGGATGAATGATTTTTTTTATGAAATCATTTCCATTATATTTAAGTTGGTTTTGATTAGGTATGATATAAGGCAGAACATACCTGCTTAGTAAACGTACTCAATGACATAATGACTTAGGTGAGTAAAATCACTGAAATACCCACATATTTGAAAGCAGTGGGTAACGGAAAATGAAATACCCACTCAAAATTCATAATACCCACTCCACAAAAATACAATGGGTACAGTACCCACATGAGCTAAATCTTATCTGGAGCTCTGCATCTGTTGAACCTTCCACTTTTGGGGATGATGTAATTTTAATATGCCATTGTCCCTTACTGCCAAATTAGAAAAACGGTATTTCGCAGAGTCAGCAGATGACGTTCAACGTTACAAGAATATGAACTTGTTTAACTTGATCCCTGGTAGTCCGTATTGCTCTTGCCATGCATGCATATTGCTTGTTTGGATGCTATTTCTTTTTACTCATTGGCGCTTAAACAACAAACTTTCACTGTG